AACTACTTAGTTACATTTTAACAGTGGGAGGGAGGCAAAAATGGGATAGGCCAAGGGTGTCAAACTCAGTTCCTGGAGGGCCACAGCCCTGCACAGTTTAGATATAACCCTAATTAAACGATATATACACCCTACACCACTGTCTTTTTGGCTAATTTTTGCAAAACCTTTTGCTAAACTGTCAAAGCTTCATTTTAACCACCAATGCAACGATGCAAGTATTTACCTTACTTATACAAGCTTGCGAAGGGTTGATGTCGAGATTTTATAAGCTGCTAGTTTGGTCTCCCTAGGCAAACACAGCTTACACTGCATAATAGAGCATAAATATGGCCAGGGGTTCACTTAATTTCCTTCGAGTTCAACTTCAGCAGAATACGACTGGGTTTCATTTTCAACTGGGTCTGCACCATAACGCCTGTCTTGTCCGTCTGCATCTTTCTTGTGATTTTAGCTCCAGTTTGCTCTCCTGCCCATTATTTACTGCACTTCTGTAGTTTCCAGGGAGCGATTCTTTTTTTTTTACTCAGTAATTAATGTGTTTTAAAATATAGCGAAGTACAATACTTCAAACAAAAAATACTTAAGTAAAAGTAGTAAAAAGTAGAAGTACACAAAAAAACCTACTCAATTACAGTAACACGAGTAATTCGTTATACTTTCCACCTCTGAATTAACGTAAAAATAGTTAATAGTCAAGTACAATTATGCGTACTGCAATAATGTAGTAAAACATTATCTGTGTAGATTTTTTTTATATATACATAAGCACCAAGCTGTAGTTTCATTCTGTGTTTTATGTCATTTTAAGTTAATTTTGATTTGGACATGACTAAAAGTGTTGATTTGAGTGGTCGAGTTGTCCATTTTCACCAGTTTAACCCATTTACAGTAGGTTCATTTTTAGACTGTTTTTTAATATAGTCGGGCATCATCGTATTGATGGGGTAATCGGCCAATCATAGAGAGGCTGTACCTCACGTGACTTTTCGTTTGCATACCGCCATCCCCCCTCACATTTGCGCTTTGCTTTAGGATCTCATTGAGAACACATAAAAAAGTAAAAGAGATACTGCCACTAGTGTTATTGTTGGAAAGTGCCACCACAAAAACAGTTTAAAGAAAAAAAAAAGCTTCAAAGTCCCACAATCATTTGATCGTACAGTAGCCTATATTGTATTTCACGTAGCCTGTTTCTTCTAATTTTGTACTGTAGATTTTTTATTTATTATTGTTTTTTTTATCCATTGCATTCTCAGAGAAAACCCTGCTGTTAAGCAGATAACAGTCTATAGTACTTTAGAAATGAAGGACGCTCGACCGACAGACTTCTTCTCTCCTCAAGACTTTGTGCCTTTCTCTCCGTGTCTCATTTGTCCCACTCAGCATGCTTCATCATCTCGCCTTAGCCGAACACTGCCCAGACCCAGCACGTCTTCTCCACGTTCTTCTTTCACTTCTTTCTTTTAACTCGCTCCAGAAAATCAGTGTCAGAACACTTTGCTTTTTCTTTGGCCCCCATTATTCATATTAGAAGATGTCCTTGTGTTGTTTGTTGAGTTCGTCCTCATTACAGCTTTGATGCAAACCTTGATTGAGTTAAAGTTGTTTTCTTCCAGAGTGTAAATAATTTTCTGTTTGCTGAGTCGTATTCATCAGGTAACTCTTAATTCAAGGGCTTATTCAAAACTTGTTTTCTTGTCTTTCTGTTGCATTGACATCACAAGGTCCTGCTAATGACAGCCTGTCATTGTGGTGGAATTGGCTTTTTAAATATTGAAAATGTTTCTTTAAATGCAGTTTAAAGATTACGTATTTGAATTTAAGGGGAATCACAGAACCATGAAAGATGGGGTAGAATAATTCCGTTCAAGCACCGTGCAATCAATATAAGCCAGAGGCATGTCAAATATCATTACATGTACTTTGCATTTATTTTTGATTGTTTGTTATTATGCACAGTATGTAGGTTGCAAGGTCTAAGGTCACCAGAATTACAAAGCGAGTTTCCTTTCGTTCGTGTGATGTTTGGCAGCGTGGTCAAAAGGCAAAGTTTATAACATTTAGACTCGTGGTCCCAAAAGCTCGTCAGAATTTCCACAGGCCCATCCCAGAAGAGCCTGAAAAAGTATAACTACTGAAAACAGCATTATTTCAGAAACAACCATGGGTGACAAGAGGTTTTCATTGCAGATTAAAAATCAATGATCTTTTCAGCTTGTGCCGGCAAGGGTTAGCGCTGCAGAGAAAGAAACGGCTTTCACAACAACCATTTGATTAACCTGGATGATTTTATGTGCTGATAGCGTCCACGGTGAGCAAATCATTATTAGATCTCATTTTCTGCACGGAGAAAACCAGTGAAGCTTAGCTCCACGCCGTGCCCTGTGCATTGAATTTCTGTCTTTGACTTAAATAGGAATAAAGATGAGAGGAGAAACGGTGCGAAAACTCGGCATAGATGTGGCGAGCCGGAGAGAACGGGCTCTCTGCATGTGTGGTGCCAAAGGAAGGCAATGCCCGCTGCACCCTCAATGTTCGTGTTTGTGTGTGCGGTGCAGAGACAAAGGCATAAACCTCCTGCAGCAGAGGTTCTGTGAGTAATGGATCTGGAATACGCAATATCAACACACTCATCACTCCTCATCCTCCGTAGCCAAGGTCACCGAAAACCTCTGCATTACCTCTACATCTCACTCCTTCTCCGTCTTGCGCTTTCGTTCTCACTCCCTCCGTCAGGGTGGCCACGTCGCCCTCTGCGGGCGGGCGAACGAGTGAATGTGTCTCAGGGTTGCTGCTGCGAGCGCTTGATCTGAGAAGCAGAATGGATGGGAGTGTATTGTCAAACTGTCATTCAGCTGGTCTGCAGCAGCAGTAAGCCTTCACAAAATATTAAACTGCTTTCACCACATAAAAGCCGTCCTCTAATACTGCTGACATATGGCTTGAAAAGCCGCCTCTGGTTTGTTTTGGAGAGGTGGAAATTGAACACAACAGCTGTTTGAAGTGGGTCGAAACGCTTTTCTGAAGCTGAATATACCAATGACAGTATAGAGAGAAGAAAGCAAAAGCCTTGCTATTACAATCTGTGAGGTTTTGAACGTTACCAATGGAGGCGCGAGGGGAAGGGGATCGAGCTGAGACTTGCGTGTGTGTCAAGTGGTGTGAAACCTCGAACATCGACCACCAGCTCTCGCTGAAAGAGCAAAACATGGGCCCCTCTTCACAACTGGTATTACAATCATCTTGGGATCCAGTCACAAGTGATTAGAGGAGATCTAGTCACCTTTGATTATGTCAGCTACATACATCACTATCTATGTCAGTGTTTTAA